AGAGAGTGTTACACGTATTGTTTGATCGTACGAATTATTGTGCGTGTGAATTGTTTTTACTTTTGGATTATAACTGTTTATTCATTCAGGTGAGTTTCCACCCTTTGAATGTTTTAGTGTAGTCTTAATAAGGTACTATAATTTTTATCATAAGAAAAGGCTTACCTAGTTAGGTGAAACAAAGATAATTAGGCATTTATTAATTGGGAAATCATATCAACCTGTAAAATATTTCGGAATTGAGTATGTCTACATAAAATGGAAATCGAGGATTACTTTAAATAAAATTATTATTGCGTATATTGTTTTGTTTAAAATTTTACAGTTTTAGGCTTCTTTATCTCTAATTAAGAGAAAACAGAAACTCTTATAAGATACTCACATATATATACATATATATATATACTCTTCTGTTCCTCTGTCACAATCGGTGTCCTTGAAAGGTACCTGACTTTGGAGATGTAAAATGCAAATACTTTTTTGATTTTTTATTTCAAATGTAAAATACAAAATAGATTTCCCTTTTGTATTTTAAATGCTAAATGCAAAATACGTATTTTCAAAGTACTTTTTCCATATAAATACTTCTTTGTAGTATCTATTTTTTTCTACATTTACTTAAGTAGGTATAAAATACTTATCAAATCCTGTATTCTCACCTTAATTCATTGTAAAATGGTTCTAGGTGAAAAGTCAATACCAAACAATAAAGTAAAGTCCAGGAAAGCCAATAGCACAGTAGACGACTAATTAAATTTACTGTTGTTTATTTTATCGGTCGATATGCAAGAAATGAACAAGAAAAACAAATTAACAACCCTAATATATAAATAAAACAAAATACAATAAAAAAACCAAGGCAAAAACAAATAAAATACCAAAACTGACTTAATTATTACAATGGTCACAAGGCGCCATAGATAATAGATATACGAAAGGTAAACAAACACTTAAAATGTACGTATGACATACGAATATATGCTATGGATAATTTGGCTGCGTTCCATAAAGCATGCATACTGATCTTATATATTCAGCAATTAAACTTTTAATAAAAATGTCCAATGTACTTATTATCAAATTGTTAAATAGTAGATTAGATATTAAAATAAAAGGTATCAGTTGGGGCGAAAAAAGAAGAGCGGAATTGCATATTGCTGATAGGAGAATAAATAACATATTAAGGATATAGGATAAGAATTAGAATAAGGTTTGATATGTTAAGTAAATGGGACTGTTAGTATTATAAAAGGATATTATTTGAAAATGATATAAGATCGATATAAATATAACTCGAGGTTAATAAAAATGTCCAATGTCCTCATTCTCTCGCATTTGTTGGAAGATCTGTGGAAGTGAACAAAAGAAAATATTAATTACACTATCAACTAAAGATCGAAGTAAATATGCACCAAAAAACAAGTTAAATAGCTAAATTACAACATGAAGACGAGATCCCAATTTCATTCATGACATAAAGAAATGTTAAGAGTAATTTAAAGGTAAGAGATGCAATTACAGATGCACGTTAACATCAACTTATGCTGTGAATAATAGATAATTGTAAAAAAGAAAGCCCATAAATGCATCATAACGTCAATTTATGATGTGGGCAATGATTAAGTGTTAGAAGTAAAACCAAAGATGCCAGAGATGGCAAATTATGAAAACTAAATTGAAAATAATGGAATAATAATCGCTTACCTAGTGAATGACTATATGGTGCTTTTTTACTCCTAACTGTAGATATCAGGGAAGTGCCTCCGATAATAGATGTTTATAAAAAGAAAAACAATACCACTGATGGTGAAATAAGTCATATAACAGACTGACAGAGCATTGCATTGCAACCTTACATAGTGTAAATTGGACTGCATACATTTCCTACAATTGTCCAGGTTTCAAATCCTTTTTTGTCTTCTCGTTCATTTAATGTGTTTAAATGGCAACCTGTTAAACTAATTTAATGTTAGTTTCATTTTAAATATTATGTATTAAAATATANGAAGCAGTGCAGTTGCTTCAATCAAATATTGATATGACTCTAGGTATTATTGAAATACAATATAATCTTCCTAGATATATGAATAACAACGGTGTTTGTTTCAGCTTCTAATGAATTAGTGTTTATAAATTTCTATGCAGAGTGGTGTAGATTTAGTAACATTTTGATGCCTGTCTTTGATGAGGCAGCTGATAAAATAAAAGAAGAGTTTCCTGAAGCAGGAAGAGTTGTGCTAGGTAAAGTAGATTGTGATAAGGAAAATGAAGTGGCTACAAGGTTTCACATCACAAAATATCCAACTTTAAAAATAATAAGAAATGGTCAGCCAGCTAAACGAGAGTATAGAGGTCAGAGATCTACAGAGGCATTTGTAACATTCATTAAAAAGCAGCTAGAAGACCCTGTCAAAGAGTTTGCACATCTTAAGGAGCTTACTTCAATAGATACTGATAAAAGGCTAATTATAGGTATGTTTTATTGTATATTAATTAATATTTTTAAACTGATTTACAGTATCTTTTTTCCACAGGATACTTTGATAGAAGAGATCAACCTGAATATAACATATTTAGACGTGTTGCATCAAATTTAAAAGATGACTGCATATTTTATGTAGGTTTTGGGGAAGCATCCTTAAATATGCATCCTGCAGGTCAACCTGTAATAGTTTTTAGGCCTGATAAAAAAAGATCTGTTGATACTGATGAAACTTATACAGGAAATGTAAACATTTTTGATGAGCTACATATTTGGGCTCAAGATAAGTGTGTTCCATTGGTGAGAGAAATAACATTTGAAAATGCTGAGGAATTAACTGAAGAAGGCCTTCCCTTTTTGATTCTCTTTCACAAACCAGGAGATGATGAATCAATAAAAAAGTACAATGAAGTTGTGCAGAAAGAACTTCTAAGTGAAAAACGTAAGTTTTGTTTTGCTGATGTTTAAAAAGATGAACTTTATGAATTCCATGATTACTTAAACATGCACTTTTGCCTTTCCCTGTAGTAATTAATGAATGGTCTGTTGTGTTAAATGAGAGTGCAATTAATTAGAAAAGTATTATGCTGAAAGTGGAGAATTGAAAATATGTTAATTTGTGGCTCAAATAAAATTAGAAAGTTTAAGCCCAACAAAATGTGTCATCTCTAATAGAAAGTCATGTGCATTATGCAAATTCCATTTTTGCATGTAAATAATAGATGTAGCACATTTTAGTTATAATAAAAAAAGTGATAAAATTTAGTCGGAGTAATTTGTGTTAGTATGTATTTTTAATAGAAAATTATATAAAATTGTTTTTTTTAATTGAATTTTGTTTTTTCGTGGCAAGGAGCAAGCAATAAGTAAACATTATTAGAAACAATAGATTTTTTAAGTAGCGTAAAATTAGTTTTATGAAGTATAAAAAACTTAATGTTTACAAACGAGTAAAGTAAATAGTCATTATAACCAAACTACTTAATGTTAACTGTGTATAATTTTTCTAATGAGGTGATTATAAATTGTTGAATAAGCTGGTCAACGGTAATTATTTACCTAATTTTAATACTATTGATATATTGAGCTTTTAATAACAGTGAAACAGTCGTTTTTTTTAAACTTAAGTCTGGATTTTGTTCTCATCTGCCATCATTCATGTACGTGATGCAGTACATTTTTTCATAGACATTTGGACAAATTAAAGTCAATGAATGAATTCGAAATTGGGTTGAACACTTTGCTATTATAATTTCTTCAACAACTCAATTTGTATTCATTCCTTACGTTCAATACTTTTATGAGATTTTTTATCTGAACTATATCTATAACTATACATAAACTGTAACATAAATAGTAATAAGAGATCCGAGCAAAATAGGGGCAAAACGTTTTATTGTAGTAAAATGTAAAATGTTGGTGTTGGTTTTACTATAACAATTTTTTTTTGCCCCTATTTGACTCTGATTTCTTATTATTATTATAAACTAAAGGAGAAGAAACGGAACACTATAACTTAAATATTTTTGTTACAGAAAATATTAACTTCTTGACAGCCGACGGTAGAAAGTTTGCACATCCTTTACATCACTTAGGTAAAAGTGAAAGTGATTTACCTCTTATAGCTATCGATAGTTTTCGGCATATGTATTTATTCCCAAAATTCGAGGATATGACAGTGCCTGGTAAATTAAAAGCATTTATTCAGGATCTGTATTCGGGTAAATTACATCGCGAATTTCATTATGGGCCTGATGACGAAGCAGAGTCAGGAAATGTGATAAGAAAAGTCACCACGCCACCCGAAAGTACATTTAAAAAGTTAGGACCGTCGAAAAACCGATACACATTACTAAGGGACGAACTTTAATTAAAAAAAAAAATTGTTTTTATAATGTAAATCTTATTTCAATTTGTGTAAAAACTTTCTCTTAAAAATATCAATTTCGTTATATTTTCAATACATTTTGACGTGTCTCCAAAGCACAGATATATGTATAACGTAATTACATTGTATGAGCAATTTTGTTTAATTTATTTATAATATTTTTAGAAATTCAATTGTGATTTATGATCACTTTCAGTTTGAAGCTGTTGTTTTGATTAATTTATTATTTTGATTTTCATGTAATTTTATTTTTACCGTTGTCTTCCGTTTCTTAGTTGTTTTCTGAAGAAAATAATTGCTCTTAAAATATATATACTCCATACTATTACTCTAGGGTACCCACTGCTTGGTACTTTTTTGTAGTATTCCAATTTCAGTTACAAAAGAATAAACAATTTCAGATTTACCTGTAGTATTTTTTCCAACCCTGTTTCAAGGTATGACTAATTTATAATGAGTAGACCCTAAGCAGAGAAAAGTTGAAGTAACGCAAGGAAAATAAATATATATTTTTAACATTGTAACAGTTAAATCATAGTAAGTAAAAAGTTTTATTTACAAAGTCTATGATTAATTTGTAAATCTATATTTAAAGAAAAAGTAAATTTCCTAATTTATAAATGAATAAATTTAAAAAAACTTAATTATTTTTTTTTATCCAATTGCTTATTTTCATAGCCACGTATCGGCTTAATGTCGAAACGATGCCGGAATAAAAAATTGATAGCTTTGCCGATACGGGAAGTTATATTTCCGATTAAATAATGAAACGAATTTCCCGGATGACATCAATGCTGGGAAACCATATCCAATGCGCTAGTCTGATGTTGGATTGGATGCTGCGCTTTAAACACCCTTCGCTATGTGAAAGGAGGGATGCTTAATGTCGATATTAACAATGAATCGAGATGGTAGTTTTTTGTTGGTAATAGTTCTAATCATTTTGTCATATTACCCAAGTAAGGACGAAAAAAATACAGTTATTTCAAAAATTTGATTGTACTTACGTAGTTTCTAAGTATAACTTGTCATAGCAATTTTTAATTGAATTAAAATATTTTTATAATAACTTCAGAGTGTTGTGTGTTTTACTGCGAAAGTTACTAGTGTGTTTAAAAGCTTCAAGAATTCAATTTTTTGTTATTACTTTTAATTTTTTTTTGTTTAAGTGATATAAAATTTAAATTTGCATCTTTAATAAAAAATCATTATTACGTGAATAATGTTTTTTTGCAGATAACGCTGAAAAAGCTTTATCGTGTTATCAATGTAATAGAACTCAAGAAAATGAAGAATGCTCATCTAAAGATTTAAAGCCATGTACAACAGTTTCTGATAGATGTGTCACTTCAACATCGAAAACAGGTACTTAGACACCTATATTAAACGAAATATGAAAATATACTCCAGAAAAAAAAAACACAAAATTCTAAAAGTAAAGAGTTAAAAAGTATTTCATCATAAAAACGTAAATACTAACTTACAGTCTTAAACGCACAAGAGTTTGAGCAGAAAAAACTGAATGTTTACATATCGATTTTTTTTAACGTATTATTTATATATGTAATAAACATCTATATTTAACAAAATAAACATATAAAAATTAACGATACCAATTTATTAGAAAACAGTTCAGGTTGATAGGATAATTTTTCCCAAACAATTATTAAAAAGCAAATTTCAAATCATTTAATAAAACATTGTTGAATTAATTTTGCTTGTTGTTTAATTATTTCGCCACGCGCGATAAAATTTTTATTTCGTTTACTAAATTTCTTATAACTTTCGAAATTAGTTTCCTTTTTTGTTTTATTTTATAAATTGTAAATCTTGCGGTACCACTTTTTGGTAACACTTTGTTCACTACCTTCTTGAATCATAAACGACTTCTTATAATGAGAAAGATATTTTGATTGATAACTGCTAACTTGCCACTGAGGAAATACCAAACATATCGGCCATTTACAGCAATTGTGTAACAGCAACGGCAAAATATTGATTTTTATGGCTAACGGATATTTGTTTCTTCAAGCGAAAGTTTAGGTTGTTTACAGTATACGGTAGCCTACTGTAATTTAATATTGTGGTCATATTTGGATTTCTATTAAGGCATATTCACATTACCAAGAGTCTACTGTATTTATGACAAAAATTGTAATCATGAGAAATAATACATACATTATTAAATCGACTTTATGGTTGCAGCAACAAACGGATTGCGTGTTGAGAGAAAATGTGGTTTAGGTCCTTGTGATTTCGAAGATATTGGTATAAACACCAACACTATAAAACTCAACAAATGTGACAGAGACAAACCAGAATACTTCTGTATATATTGCTGTAAAGAAGACGGATGCAACAAAAATTCATCTTCATCTGCCTTCTCATTTTCATCACTATTATTTACAATTATTGTACTTGTCAATTTTTGAGAAGTTTTATCCTCCCTATATTTAACAATAGATTTACAGCAGATGTAATGAGAAATTTTAATAACAAAAAAAAATAAACTAATTGTAAAAAATATACAAAACGGTTTATTATATTTGTACGATTTTTACAGGCACAATGTGTGTAATAAAATAATTGGACGGAGTGCGTTTACACTTACAATGTAAAAAATATCTATGATAACAATGGTCAACTAGAACTTCTAATAAATTATCATATTAAATAAAAATTACATGAACATACAAAATTTTACAACTCATAACTGTTGCAATAAAAGCAAGTTCATTTACCAAATAATCACAATAAATTCCTTTATAAATACTGAACAGAACGAGACGAACTGTGTGAAATCCAAATTTGAAAAGTACACTTGCTACTCACTTTAAAATTACATACAATTACGTACAATTTAAAAAGAGTACTATAGTATAGTAAAATAAAATTACATGTTTTAAATTAAAAGTTTATCATTCCCTAAAATACTTTGTTAAAAATTATCATGCTTATTAAGGAAGTCAAAGTTGCCCTTAGAAACATAATTGGAACACTTTTGGGAGCTGTAGACTGAAAAAAATATGTGAATTAAGTTTTCACGATAAGTAAGTAAAACCTTATTAAAGCAATACAAAAGAAGGAAGTACATACTATGACATAGTAATTACATCTATCCCCTTTACAGCATTCAGAGCATTTCCAATCTTCATACCAAATTCGGGTACAGTATTGCATGTTAGCTTTACGGTGCTTTTCGCATTTGGCTTTTGTAGAACACCTTTTTGATACATAAAACTGCTTTAAAGCTCCTTGCTGCCAGTAAGGTGTACTACCCCATTTAATTTCAGTCAAGCATACATCTTCCCCATACTCACAGGTTTTAATTGTGTTCAAACATTTTTCATTATTTGCTTCCTGATTATGGCAAACGTAACATTCGAGGGCTCCAGCTTAAAGGAATATTTTAAAATACTTAAAAATAGGGTTATGAACTTATTATTTGTTTATTCACTTACATAAATGCACTTGAATCAAGAAGGATAGAAATGATAAAAGAATTAAACTTCTCATTTTGATAAGATAACTATGTTTTTAACTGTTATTAGTCATAATATTTAGCAACATTAATTAGACAAATACGAACCACACCCACTAGGTTATGTTTTGGTACCAACAGCTGCTAACTGCACAACAATAGAAACCATAGATGAATAGAAACTGAACAATTATACATGGTTGCCATTCGATACCATTTTACAATCATAATTTGTAAAAACACCAAATGGGCCAAAAACATTTTAAAATTAAAGTTAGAAATTATTATAAATTTCAGCAACAGAGCAATTGTACATATGTCTGTCATGGTAATATGTTATAATCTAATGTAAGAATTAATACAACTGAATAAATGAATTTAAACTATTAAATAGTTATACTGAAAACGTGCAACATCGGAAACTATTGTTTACATTTTTCAAACCTGGCGTGACTGACGTTTAACTTTGACACAACCGCACAACGTATGTAGACATTATCGACGTGTTTAAAATAAAATTCTTTTTCTGCAAGTTACTTTTTCAACATAATTTTAAAGGTATATTTTTTGTAATTATTAATAAAATAAACAAGTATTGTTTTTTATTTTTCCTTTTAGTTGTTCATTATTATTTGTATCTTGATTATTTATTTCAGCTCTTTCAATATTGAAGCAAGTGGAAATTCCAATTACAATGACTTAATTGATTTGTTTATATATGGAATAGAATTTAAATTTGATGATTTAAATATATTTTAAACTTCATGGAGGGAGTTTTGTGGAAATGGACGAACTATTGGAATGGTATGTTACATTTTTTTATGGCTGATTACAAAAGAAAAGAAGGTGCTTTTTCTAGGTTGGCAAACTCGTTGGTTTGTGCTAGAAAATGGAATTTTGTCATATTATAAGTCTCAGGAAGATCTAGATAAGGGATGCAAAGGTTCAATTAAAGTATCTGCTTGTGAAATTAATGGTACATGAGTTGAAAATGGTTAAAACAGAGATAATTGCATTTTGACTGTTTTAGTTGATTCATTAGATCCAACGAGATTAGATCTTAATATACCAGGTGAACAACATTTGTATTTGAAAGCTGCCACTTCACAAGAAAGACAACAGTGGCTTGTAGCCTTGGGGACTGCTAAAGCATGTGTCCAAAGTAGGAATGGCAAGGAAAATGGTAACATAGTTTTTAGGTTTGAGGTCTTTTATTTTATCTTGCTTTAATCCCAGAAACAAGCCCTGATACTCTAAAGACAAAAAGATCAGAACTTCGTCTCTATTGTGACTTACTGATGCAACAAGTTCATATGGTAAAAACTGCTGCTAATGCCAAGGAAGGCCCAGAAATAGAGGTATCTATTTGATGCTATTTTCTTCATTATAAAACCCTTTAAATTCAATTAAAATTATAGAGAATTGATGAGGCAACGAGTCTTCTAACAGCCACATGTGATACTTTTATTAAGACTTTAGAAGAATGCATGAAACTGTCCAATGCTAATTTAGTATATGATATATCTTCCTGTACAATGGTTAATTTACCACCTGTTAATTCGAACCTACCATACAAAAAGGTAAAATTTTAATTTAAACTATTTGTTGAACTATATCAAGTAATTTAAATAGGAAATTACTTTAAATATAAGAATGTAGATATATCTTTACAGTATGTATTTAACATAAGTAGGTATATATCTGAAATGACAATTGTTTTGCTACACTGAAGGTTAAATAAGTCAGATGTAATTATTTATCGTTTTTGCCACAAAACAACTATATTTCTTTTTTGTTTCAGATTTTGAAACCACCGTCTCGCACAGTATCTGCTGACATATGAGGATATATTTCAAAATTTCCTTGCCTTTTGTAAAAGGTGGTGAATGTATCTTATGAGACTTTTATTATGTTATTTCTTTTTCGTTTTTCCTTCGTTATCTAATTTTCCATTATTTATGTAGCATTGTCTACTGAGTCCACATAATTTATATCATTAATTTTTTTTTTTATNGTTGAGGTTGGCTACGCCGGGATTCGTTTTCAGCAAGTAGATATCCACACAAGTGGACCTTGTTGGAGCATACGTAATTCTAAAATGTAGCATCGTGCTACAGATGGTAATAAATTGTAAAATTGGAAGTTTATAGTTAGATAGCAAATGGTTTATTATCACATTTATTTTGTTATAGTGGTTTTTCAAGGGAATATATATGAATATTGTTTAACTTTTAAATATATTCTGTTTTTTAGTTTTTAAAAAACGTTTGTTCTCGGAAATATTCTTTTCTGATTTGCTGATATAATAACAATGTGATAAAAGTTCAAAAATGTTATATATTTTCTATTTTTATGCCAAAATTTAAGAAACTAACAATTGCTTAATTTATAGTGTTTGATAGTGCTGTTATTATAGAAAATGAAGTATTTTTTGTGATATTAGGAATATTTTTAGTAATTTTATTGCTTAGACTAGGAATATTTCTTTTACCATATATAAATTTGTTTAATAGACACTATTTACTCCTTTAGATTATTATTGATTACTGTATAATATGTAGCATTACCCAACTCATTTGTGAATTGTTGAATAAATAAATACAATGACTATATATTTTCGCATTTTAAGTGCATTTTTGATTACACTAAAAAAGAAAATCAAATCTCGAATAATATAATGTGCTGAAGAAATAATTAAAGAAAAATATTTCAAAGTGATTGTAATGATTTTAAGAAGGTATCTTATTTACTACACAAACTAATGTTTTTATATACTAATAGAGTAGGCCCTCAATGATGTGAACAAGGCATACCTAACAATCTAAATTTCCCCATTGTCTTAAATCCCTGATATAACTGATACATCCCCAGTCGTATTAGCAGGAGAGATGCTGTTTTATTTGTACATTCACTTTATATAGGTCGTGTTATCTGGGTTCTACAAATTTTGAACAATGAGTAATCATATGAATTGTTTGCTTTTTTTTTGATAAGTATATGTATTAGCGCTTTATATTTTTATGTAGGTATATTTATTTTGCTAATTGTATATGTTTATTATTACATACTAGCTGTAACTCCGCCTCGCTGAGAATAATCCTTTTCACCCCTTCAAAAGTAGAATTTCTTAAACACGAAAGAGCATTAAGATCAAGTTTCAAGTAAATCTGACTACAAACAATAATGTTCCATACAAACTTAGGCAATTTTTTCCATTATTCCTTGTATCCTTCATAAGGAAATCTCTGTTGGTCTAAGGGTTCAGCCTAGGCATTAATGAGTAAATGAGTCAGTGAGGCTCAGGACTTTTTTTATACGTTTAGATTAAATATAACATTCGTTAATGTGAACATATCGATAATGTGAACAACTATTGTTTTTTTAGATTTATACTACCGCTACTGTAAATAATAAGAATAAACCCATAAAAAAGTAGTTCATATAATATTCTAACGATAAGAGCATAATTCTAAAAATTTGCCCATTAGAAACCACGGGCAAATGAAAATTAATACTCTATCTTCATAATTTTAAGCATAATTGGCAATAAATTCTTATTTTAATTAAACGATTTTATCTCGTAAATACATGTCCGTCCCATTAGCAGAATTTCATTGTCATGAAAACCACTTTCATTTAATGTTTGTTTACAGTCAAAAATAATCAATATTTTTTCTAACCAAGGAGTTTAGGTTGCTGCGGCCTTCAGTTTTGTTTTAAAGGTGTTCAAACAAAGGTAGAAATATGTCCCTTTTTCAGGCTATTGAATTTTGGACAACTTTTTGCGATAATGAAGAAACATTCGATCAAAATTCTTTAAAAATTTCGCGATTAAATGAACAGTACGATTTGATAATAACAGGTAGCCATATCGGAGTCTTAAGGATATTTAAATCTGGCACAGAAATTGATGATAGGGGTGTTTTACAAGAATTTAAGCCGACAGATTTATTATTAGAAAAAGACTTACAAAGTGCTATAATACAAGTAGATGTTGGAAAACTAGTGTCGTAGGTATAAATTTAATTATTTCAATAAACTAATTTAAAGCTGAATTGGTATTAGGGGATCGCAGAAAATTCAAATAGCCACGTTACATTCTAAAACAGTAAAAGTTTGTAGTTTTGTAACAAAAGCAGGCGAAACAGATCATGGTAAGTAAAAAATGATATCACAATAATTGAAATGAAAATGTCTTGTTAATAATGAAATTTAATCAATAGTACCGCCGACATTTTTTAAATTTAGAAATATTTTGAGTTCTTTTTTGGATCAGTTTTTAGTAATTTTATGTTTATACAACGAATAATACTATTATAGGGCATCAATATATTTTAAAGCAAATATACGAACATAAATTAAGAAGAACCCCTTCAAACTTTGTAATTGGCCCTTTTGGGAAATCAGCAAATAGAGACTTTATTTGCGTGCAGTCGCTAGACGGACTGCTTACATTTTTCGAACAAGAATGCTTCTCGTTCTGCTGTTTTTTGCCGAAATTTTTGCTGCCAGGACCTTTAGTTTATTTGGATTACAATGATTGTTTCGTAACTGGCGGATCAACATGGATGCTACAATGTTTCACGTGAGTCGAAATTTTCAGTTTAAGTACTTACGATAATTCCTTACCGCCATAAGGGCCACGACTAGACAAACTTTTGTCTGGAGTAAAACTCGATTTTCGCGCTCCATTCCATTAAAGAAAAAAAGTCATTCCAATGCAAATTTGTCCTTAGAGATGGGCTATATTTTAGATACAAGGCTTTGTCGGACGCTGGTGAAGCATCTACTCAACAGGATATTTCAGGAAATAAGGTGACAGAAGAGTGGGTATATAATACCGGGGAAGAAATTTTCAACATGGTTGTACTGCCAAATCATCAAAAAAGGGACAATTTTATTTTAGCATTAGGTCACAAACATTTGTACTGCTGCAATGGGAAGGGGAAATTACTTTTTATGAAGAGATTGGAATGTCCAACGTCATGTTTCAGTGCATACCTTTTAGGTAAGTCAGGAAAGTAAAGGTTATTACTTTCTTTCATGTTTCATTAACCTTGGCTAATTCCTAGTATAGTGGCTACCAATATTTTTTGAATTTTTTATGACCAATGAGTAGTTTAGAATCTACAATCTGCATTATTCCTTCTTTTACTGGGTAAATCAAGTGAAGCCGTGTTTTTCGGCCTCTATAGTCAAAAATTTATTGTACAACCAAGCATGTGTTTGCAACCACATGTAACCTAATTCCATTTGCGAAAATTAATTAGGTCCTAGGGTTTTACCCGCAGGAACTCCTCCGCTCAAGAGAAAAACCGGTCACTCTTAGTTTTTCCAATCCGAAAGGAATATACCCACTAAATATATTTACTGAAAAATTCTTTAACTGAAGAGAGTCTAAAAGATTCTAAACTCTGGAAATGGATATTGTTTTCCGGGTTCAATGTCACAAAGCAATATCGAATTGATATACGACAGCTGTGTAAAACTGAAAACTACAAGATAATGTGGTGTGCTAATAAATGCGTATAATCCAAAATTCTTAAAAAACGATTGGAAAAACTTCACTTATTAGATGAACCCGAAGCTAAAGAAACTACAGATTCCATTTCTTTCTCTTATTACAATGTGTAAAAGATCGGAAACAAAATGAGGTTGTAAATATTTTGATATAAAATGATTGATGTTAATTTTACATCAATAAAATTATTTGCAACCCTATTTTGACTCTGATCTTTAATAGTAAAGAAACTATTTTGACATCATTGTCTCTTATTCCAATTAAAACGGATGACAAAGGTAAATAAGGAAGCGTATCGAAGAATTACTTGTTTTTGAACTAAACAAATTATAACATAAAGATAGAAAAACTGTATCTCAATCACTTCAAATAGAAAAATATGAATCATATTCGATCTACGCAGCTGGTGATATAATGCAATCACTATTAGTCTCGAAAAATTCGAATATTTAAAAAATGAGAAAAGACCTGCAATGTAAAAAATTAAATAGGTACCACAAAAAAGTATTTATTTGAAAAAATTATTTTGGAAATACGTATTTTGCATTTAGCATTTAAAATACAAAAGGGAAATCTATTTTTACATCTGAAATAATAGAGAGAAGAAAGTACTTGCATTATGTATTTAAACATTTTTAAAAAACCATTTTGCACATCTCTGTTAATTAGTTATTGTCTTTTGAAATTGCCACGTTTGCGATGTGTATTTCAAGTTCATATAAATTGAGGTGCTTGCACATTTTGCAGTGATTACGTTTCGTATTGCTTACAAGGTAATTGTAGGTGTATATATTCTCAGGGGATGACGCGAAAGTGGTGTCGTTGATTGTAAGCGAAACAAAGACTCTTCTTGTATATGGAAATACAACGCTTTTGTGGGCGGCACAATTATCATTCCTGCCGGTGGCTTTGAGCAGGGCGTCGTTCCCTAATATAAAGGGCGCGTTGGTTATGCTTAGCGAGGAAGGAAAACACCATTGCGCATACCTTGGCACGGAACCGCATCTGTTCGCTGCACCACCGTTATCTAATCAACAACTGGACTTAGATAAATCCGAGGAAGAGCTGAACAGACTATACAAAATTATCAGAAGTAGACTTAGCGAAGGTAACAATAAATAAATAATCAGTTTTATGACAGATAATGTTCATTTGACTTATATACAGAGGGTTTCATGAGTCGCTGCAGAAAATTAAATTGTTCCAATTATTAGAAATGCCTTACACCTAATTAAACTTTAAATAAAAATGACTTAATTGTGCCAAGTGATTAGTAGGTTGGGGGGATATTTTTATTTTAATTTGGACTCCTTTCATCCTTGGTGAGATTTGAAAGGATGTGGTGGGACCCCCTTTATCTTATTTACCATGTCAAAATTGGACACCCCAAAATAGTAAAACAAAAATTGATGAAATATGAAGATTGGAAAAATTTTGGCGGTTGTTGTAGAACAAACAGAATAGCTCAAAACCCCAACGCCAAAACACGACACTGTAGTTGTCCGAAGCACTTTTCGGTAACAAAGTTACCTTCTTCAGGGACTGAAGTAAACTGGTTTACTTTGTTACCGAAAAGTGCTTCGGACAACTACAGTGTCGTGTTTTGGCGTTGGGGTTTTGAGCTATTCTGTTTGTTCTAAAAAAATTGATGAATTTTATTTATTGCCTGTATATTATAATGAATATTATTCGAATTAAATAGCTGACGTAAGATTTTTAATTATCCTTCGCTCCCTTTAAACGAGATTTTGTTGTACCTCTCCCTCATTCTGAGCTCACGGCAGAAACTTGATATTGACGCCCCCTGCCCCAGTTTTTAAAATAAATTGTTAAAAAATCTCACAAATATATAATGGTTGGCATTTTTAGTGGATTGGACAAAAAGAACCCTTTAATAAATTTGCACTCTTTATTATCTATTACCTAATAACTTTTTCATTTGTGACCAGGAAAGCCGACAGACAATCAAGATTTCTCTTTAATCTTGTTTCAGCATTAATATACGGCGTGCTTTCTTTTCTGCGAAAGAATCTATTAACTCATCAGAGTCCGTCTCAAAGACAGTTTTATTTTCAATGGCTAGGATCGCGAGGCCAGATAGATGTTCCTGACTCATTGTTGAACGCAGATAGATTTTAATTATTTTCAGTTTGTCGAAGCTTCGCTTCAAAAAAATTTTTTTTCCAATAAGTTCTTGAAAATGAGCCATTGGAATGTGTTAGAAAACCAACTGGGAATTTTAAAATCAAATTAATAATTGATAGAACAACGTACGCTGCATACTAGGCGCTTTGTGCAGCAAGTTTTTTATTTTCAATCATATTATATTACGATTTTGATGTCCTATTAAATTGCCTCCTGAGTTGCCTCAGTTTGTCATCTTCCCTAAATCAGGCGCTATTCTCACGTATGTCCCCTTACAAATACCGATGAAATATGCACACGAAATGTTACAGTTAGTTGTAAAAATGCATAGGTGGCAATTTACTGTTTAATTAAATTATCTATAGAGTGCTGATGGAATCCAAACAGTTGGAAAACCCATCTGGTGGTTTCGATAAATTGTTAATCCAGGCCTTAAAGTTCTTTCTAAACCGTACTACCTCGATCATTGGGTACTGTTCTATATAAAATTTTTAATTTTAAGACCCCTAAGTTTTCTTTTAAGGCATGAAAATACATATACAGATTAATGTACAATACCAATTTTACAATTACCATATAGTAAAATACTTTTCTATTTTTGGCTTGTAACTGATTATAATAATGAATATTTCCCATAAAGATGTGGAAAGATAAGTAATATTACGATAAAAATTCTTCAGTATGTTTCTTTCCGAATTGGAGCGATTAACTACACCACTGATGGTGTCTGTTTGAAATAAAATAAGTTAATGGAGCATGATAGAACAGCCCGAGAAGAAGTCTATAAACAAAATCCTCAACTAAAATGATTCGAAGTGGTCTATATTCTGTCGAAACTGCCAGACTCGGAACGCGATTTCGATCTTTTTGGATCTCATCAGCGCGGCGCAGGCAGCTCCGGCAGAACACAGACCAACTTGTACCTGCTGTCTTAACAGTGCGTTTTAGAAAATACTACAAATGGCGCAGTAAACGCCATCTGCAGCACGATGCTACATTTTACAATTACGTATGCTCCAACAAGGTCCACTTGTGTGGATATCTACTTGCTGAAAACGAATCCCGGCGCAGCCAACCTCAACGTGATATGCACGTTAGCTTAATCGAATAAAATAATTCGAAGTGGTCTGTCTGCGCTGATGAGATCCAAAAAGATTGAAATGGCGATCCGCGTCTGGCAGTTTCGACAGAATACAGACCACTTCGAATTATTTCATTCGATTAAGTTAACGTGCCTATCACGTTGAGGTTGGCTACGCCGGGATTCGTTTTCAGCAAGTAGATATCCACACAAGTGGACCTTGTTGAAAAATACGTAATTCTAAAATGTAGCATCGTGCTACAGATGGCGTTTACTGCGCCATTTGTAGTATTTTCTAAAATCCTCAACTGTTTCTAAATTGTTATTTGTTGTTGAAACCAATCATATTTTTTTATAGATAGGTACAAATAATAAAAGTAATTAAACATGAAAATATTTAGAGGCCAACAGAACATCCACATCTTTAGAAAAAGACCTGGTGATAAATTTGGTCGTGGATCCCCATTTGCGAACCAACATTCACCCTCACAATTTAGAATCTACTGACGAAAATGAAAAGGCAAACCTAATGTGTCACGTATCGGTCGAATTAATTCCGCACGTAACCTTTGAAGAATTACAGTTAGCAGTTAAGGTGCAGAGTCCTTTAAAAACATCAATAGAAGCTGAATTTTATACTGAGGTTCGAGAAACGATTTCCTTCGAATGCGACGTTTTTTTTGAAGAAGCTTTAGAAGTAGTCAGTTTGGAAGTCATGGTCGTTATCACCTGCGTTTCCAACGTGACATTTTCGCGGGTTTTGAAAAAGACAGCGACGTTACCTTTGAAAATGGCTGTTCAAACTTGCGAGCCTCGGAAAAGTGGAGAGAACAGAATTACACTTGATTTGAATAAGGACGCTTTGCCATTAGCTAGGCTATTCCCAGGTGAGTTTATTAGGTGCCTATGCATCTACATGAAGTGTCACATTAGCATATCATTTTCTTTTTTGGCGAGAAAAAGGAAAATTTTAAACGAAAGCGTGATATTATAATCTTTTTAAATATGTAGTTTGTAGCTTCGTATATAATCGAAATAAAATTTGCATAAATTAGCTTTTTTATAAAAGAATTAATGTTGTACAGTAAAAGCTCTTTATTCGCGGGGTATACGTTCCATAAATATGCCGCGAATACAGAAACCGTGGGTATGGAATGGTAATTAGTATGGAATCATAGGGGATACGTTCTAAGATTCCAAAATAAAACCAATATGTATCAAAATAAAATCGTTATAATTAGCTATAAGCAAGAGTTTAAAAAATTTAGTGATTTTCTCTTGTTTTGAATTTTGAAATTAGTCCACTCAGTTACATATTTTATAAAAGTGGCCTCGNAAAATAAAACCAATATGTATCAAAATAAAATCGTTATAATTAGCTATAAGCAAGAGTTTAAAAAATTTAGTGATTTTCTCTTGTTTTGAATTTTGAAATTAGTCCACTCAGTTACATATTTTATAAAAGTGGCCTCGGCACGAGCCAATAGTACTCAAAAGATACTAATCCGTTGAAAAATTATTTTCTATTTGGTTAGATTTTTTATAAAAGCCGTTTCGACACGTATCAACTGTACATACTCAAAAGATGCCTACACATTAAGAGGATACAGTAGTACACGCGCCGTAGATTAAAAACATGCTTATCGGTTCTAGATATCACGAGTTTAATATTTGTGACAGAGGTTTGAAATTTTGTTGTAAGATAGATAAAGCTTTGTTCTAAAGTTTGTCTAAGGCCATTTTTTAATTTTTTAATATCTATTGAAAATACGTGTCCTACAAGAAGCACCAACTTTAAGCACTTGTAAAAGCTTTTATAGACAATATTATTGAAAACCAAAAACGTACCGAGTTAGTGGGAAAGTATGTCTGTTACCATACAAAAAATTAGATATTTATCTCGCAGCGTTAAATCACAATGTTTAGAATAGCAACCCATGTTTTCGAAAAAATTCACACGAGGCACGAGCGGTCTATTGCGGTCAACCCCCTAATAAATGATACCGAATCCTTTTCTGTTTACCGATTGCAACCGCGAATAATGAAATTTTTAACCACGATTAGAGGAACTGGGTTGCAATTTTTTCACCCGCGTATAACGAAAACGCGAATAAAGAAACCGTGAATAAGGAACTTTTACTGTACCGATGTTTTTTAATTTTTTGCACTAATAGACATAGGTACTTCTTATTTGATACCACTCAGGACTCAGAACTACACGGAGAGAAAAATCTTAGAAAAAATACCATGCTTATCACTATGGAGTGGGCGCAGCAAACATGTCTTCACAAAATTTAATGATAGTCCAATAATTTTTGTAAGACAACCTTATAAACTTTACTAGAAAGCATAGGAATTTTTACTGTGCCAGCATGGAACTTATTCCATTGACAGTCAAAGGTACCCGGACTATGAAATAGCAGGGTCATTTTTCTTTCCGTACATTTCTGAAATGCTCATCACCAAGAACCTGAACATTCACGAAAATACCATACATGCATTTTAATCACACACGCGCGAGCAGTGTGACCAGTCATCCCGCAGTTTTTTTTAAAAATGAAGGGTCTGAATTGGTCTGGCGATTGTAAATTCGGCCGATTCAGTGGCGTTTCATCAATTATAGTGGCAAATTCGGTCGGAGGATTTTGTAGCTTTACAAACCTCTAAAATTATCAGTGTTTCCCTACTATATTATACATGTATTATACACATAAACGTTCCTCTTTAATCACTCTATCTTTAAAAAAAACGCATTAAAATCCGTTGCGTAGTTTTAAAGATTTAAGCATACATAGGGACAGACAGCGGGAGAGCGACTTTGTTTTATACTATGTAGTGTTGATGCGGCACAAATAAAAAAATCTAGGATCTAGAATTAGAAGTTATTGTCAACGCCTTCGCTTGTGCAGAATTGTAGGTACATTTGTAATTTATTGTTTTCTTACGATCAAGTTACATCTCAATTATTATATTCTTCGTTTTGTAGATTTTCTTGGAGAAAACAAATTATCTTCATTTAGCAATGCAGTTGCATTTAAAAATGTAAATGGTTGTGGAGAGCCGGTAACAATTTTGCTTGCGAAGTCGTCTCAGAGGTATCGTTTACAGTCGGATTCTCTTAGTTCCCTTAATATTTTCCTCAGTTATATGAAAGAACGTTTGAAACAATTCTACGATAATGATCCAGGTTTCCTTATTACATATTCGGCAGCATTACCCGTTGAACCAATAGTGTCTTTTGCAAGAGAACATTTTGAAATCGTTCAGGAAATTAAACGATTACTGGTAAGTAACCTTTTGAAATGCTGCTCAATAGCACTACTAGATAATAAGAGAAAACGGTAACAGAATTTTGATGACAACCATGGGTGGAACAGTTGGGACCTGCACGGATATAAAATATTTCTAATAGTAAAATGTTTTATATTTTAAGTCACTCATATTCAGTTTTTGTTTTTCAATCTAATAAAGTAAATATAAGTAACAGTGAAGTTCAGAATTCTGGGTTTTCGTAGCGTTGAGGATACTTCAATGTTCTTCTAGTTGAGAAAATATAACTTTAATGCTAGCAAGAGGCCGCTTGTATAAATGGTCCTTCCTGTTCCTGCAACATTTGATATCGTACTAATTCTATATAATTTCAACGACTCTTTCATAAAGTGAAAACAAAGTAATTATTTTTTTATTTAATTGTTTTAAGAAAAACTAATCTTAATAACCAATGTCAACCTTTAAAAATAAAACGCATGAAGTCAGTTCATTTATTAATGACCTGCATGCGTTGCCACAATCGCTCAACAAGCGGGGAATCGTTACGCTTTCTATCCCTTCTTAGTGACTTTTTAGACTCATTTACTTCGGATTAAGTTATGACCCCTATTTCTAGTCTTCTTCAGATAAACCTACAACACTGCTCTTTTTTCCACCAGAAGTTAATTAAAATAATTAAAACGACATTAAAACAATTGAAATATGTAAACTAAAATGAATGATGTCGGAAATTACTTTGGCCACAGGTTGACCTTTATTCGTAGTAGGTATAGAGTTGCTGTAATTTAAATTGATTCACTAAAATTACCTTCCATAATAATACAGTTTGAAATTTGAAAATAATAAATTAGCCGCAAAGCGAGCTGTAAAGAGAAGCAGCATCATCAGATTTGCAAGTAGTGATGAACAAAATTGGTTTGACAGGCTGTATATTAGCAAGAATAAGACCACCACTGAACGAACAAGACTAAGATTAAAACCAAGACCGAATGAACAAGAGCAAGACTAAAACCAAGACCAAATATGCAAGACAAAAACCAAATATAAAAAAAGGAACATTACCACTGTTTGAAAAAAGCGATCTACAAGAATGTCCTTGGACCAAGTGTTCTTTGTTTCTATGTCTGAATAACATATGATTGTAATATAGAGGCAAACTAATTTATTTTCGATATTTTTTTAATCTATACATCGAAGACGCGATCAACACCATTGAAGACAGTACAACTGTAGGGATAGATATACAGTGGTAAAAGATTAGTAAGATTACATTTGCAGACGATATAGCAGTATTAGCACTTAGTAGGGAGTTAGAGATAACTTTAAAAAAAGCAGTACTGTATGAAAATAAATAAAAGTAAAACAAAAATATTGGTATGCAAGGGAAGAAAAAGTACGGAAAGAGCAATTATAAAGATAGGAGACGAAAAATTAGAAGTGGCTGATTTTAGATATTTAGGAAGTCAGAAAAAGACGGAAGGAGTAGTAGGGATATAAAGCAAAGGATAGCGCAGGTCGAGTCGTCGTCAATAAATAAAGTCATTTTTATGCTTGCGAACGGTTAATTTAGAAATTCGAAAAAGATTGTTGTATGTTTGGTGTGCGGAGCTGTACGGATGGGAAACATGGACGGTGGGTGCGAATGATGAGGATACCGTGGATAGAGAAGGTTGGAAATGAAAAGGTATTAGAAAGAGTAGGAGAACAGAGGACTCTATGGAGGTCAATAAAGAATAGGCGAGATAGGTTGGTAGGACACCTTCTCAGGCATGAAGGTCTAGTCAGAGACATATTAGAGGCAGAAACAGAAGTTAGGAGGAGTAGAGGTAGACCTAGATTAGATTACTGTTCGCAAATAGTTCAGGATGTGGGTTGTTCTAGTTTTGGGGAAATGAGAAGATTAGCTGAGGATAGGAAACAGTGGAGGTGCGTGTCCAACCAGTCTTAGGACTGACGACCATATGAAGATGATGATTTTTTATTTCTTTCAAGTACCTTGTAGGCAATATTTTGTTCGTTAAAAGGTCAAAGGAAGGGTCAACTAATGCATTGAAGGTGGGGTAAGTTCTCTAGTTTTCTTAATTCTCACAACTTTCGGCACTATTTTCTTTAAATCTAATGACAAGCTCGCATGTATAATATAAAATTTCAGTATTTAAGGCAATTATTGTGTACGTAAATAGAAAAATTTGTGTTTAGAATTATTATTAAAAAAATTAAATGAACAAGACTAAGACTTAACACGTAAAACCAAGACCAAGACCGAGACTATATTAACAAGACCAAAACAGTAGAAGACCAAGAGTATGGCAGTTTTGATCTTGATCTTGCTTTGCTTATCACTATTTGCTACTACAGATGGTGGAATTAATGGGTCAAACAACGCATTGGTTTCTAATCATATGTCACATCGAATGATATCAATCGAAAAGCAATACTTTCATTGACGTGCAAATGAAAGCTAATTGGATGTAAGCAATGTGATGTTAACGTTCAAAAGTTGGCGTAACCGCCGTGACCCGACCTTCCCCAATAAACCAATGCATACTTGGTGTCAGTTGGTAAAAGTTTGGCTTGATTCTTTTCTTTTTGACATATTTTGTTAATATTAACTTAAAATCATCAATTTATTCCATCTATAACTGTCTCTATTATTTAGTTTTTCTAAGAATAAAAGGAATTTACTATTGGGTACTAAACAAGTGGTGAAAATGAGAAAAATTGAAGATTTTTTCCTTAGAAATGATTTTCAGTTCCGCCTATGTAATGATAATTTGCTTTAGTCTAACATTCAGCTATTCGTGCTCCTGTATTTGGCGAAGTTTAGTGTCTCTCATTAAGTTAATGCGCAACGCGTATTGAATTAATAATTTTATTTTGCTCTCATACCAGTTTGCTGTTCATTATTACAGTAATTGCATAAGAAATCTTTGAGGATACTTCAATGTTCTTCTAGTTGAGAAAATATAACTTTAATGCTAGCAAGAGGCCGCTTGTATAAATGGTCCTTCCTGTTCCTGCAACATTTGATATCGTACTAATTCTATATAATTTCAACGACTCTTTCATAAAGTGAAAACAAAGCAAGTTAACTGTTCACATCACAAGAATTTATGAAGTGCCTTGCGCTGCGAACCACTTGCAGTAAACAGAACAAAAGAACTGCAGCCACTTTAAAGTTGTACTTTCTAGGATTTATTGACCCAGTTGGCGGCACAGTATAGAGCAATCGAGAAACGTTTGATTACAAAGTTTAAAGATAAAAACCCTACTCCTGTATCACAGTTTGTGACACTGATAGACGACACTTATGAGGACATCAACGAGTCCCTAAAGAGATTAAAATACGAAAAAGGGAAGTTAAATGCAGCTCGTAACAAACTCGAATGTTCACTGAACCTTCTAATAAGTTTATCACGGTCAATGGATATTAGTGAGGACATTTTGCAATCGATCGAGAGCGTTTTTGAACCTCATATATACGACATAGAAGGACAGGTATGATTAAACACATATAAGTAGATAGACACGGTCTCTCAAAGAACGTTTATGTCAAAAAATTATCGAAACTACCATTGGGCTCGGATCGTGACTTCGATCTTATTTGTTTTCATTAGCTCTACAGGTAGTCCCGATAAATTACTGACGAAACTGAAGAAGTTCTTAAAGAACAAGCTGAATTAATATTCAAATGCAGACAATGTATCGCCATCTAGTGGGTATTCGCTGATACTAAAGCATTTCAAGAGTTAGACAAGTCCTTGCTAGGGTTGCCACCTTTTCAGGCTTTACATAAAGTATTTATCGACTAAAAGGTTAAAAAAAAAGTACTCAGCATAAAAATAAAGTATTTTATTTTTTGTTTTTAAAAACATATTTTTTGTTACACCTAGCAGCCAGTAACAAATTGCTGTCGCTCTTAAATACATTAATAGCCTCTAAACATGGCAAACAAAGATTTAAGTAAACTAAAAGTTCATTTTTAATTAGTTTTAATGAAGCTTTATTCCTGTCGTCCCGCCACTTTGCGTTCATAACAGAGAATACTCTTTCTGTAAATGCTGAAGTGGCCGGAACGGACAGCAAAAGTGACACTACTTTGAACAGATTTGGGAAATCAGGTTGTTCCGTAAATATGGCTTGCCATTTTTCTGTGCAATATTATTGATGTAAAAATACTCTGAATTTCGAATAATCGCTTACAAAATTACGATGTTTACTTAAGGCCTTAAATAAAGTATTTTTGCGTACTTTATGTGTCTTGTAAAGTATAACGTACGCACAGTTACGCATAATCGAAATAGAGTACAATACTTTATAATAATATACGGGTGGCAACCCTAGTCCTTGCTAAGATATTAACGTATACAACATTCCGTCGACTAACCTTTTTAATCTAACTTTCTAACTTTTCAACGGAATAATATACAGCCTATTTCCACCCTGAAGGTTCATGTTAGCGAAAAATTTTTGAAATTGTGTACGTAATTTCGGATATAACCTCCCACATCCAACTTTACAAACTTTATGTCTTTGTAATATTACTGTAGATTGACATGTGTAAACACATTTCAAAGAAGAAGATTCAGGATCGATGTTATTAAAGGCTTTGATGTCAACGCAACGGTTCCAATACATTTCTATTTACCAATTAAAATGCAAATAGCAAAATAACAATAATTGTCGATTAAAATTCATTCTGGGAAAATGTTATCATAGGTTAGTTTTGATCGCCAAAAGCGGTCGTCGGCAACCTACGACCTGATGGACCGAGTGACCCATTTGATAATAGAGCACAATAATATATATCTCATCATTATCATAAGGTCGTCAGTCCTAAGGCTGGTTGGATACGCACCTCTACTCTATTCTGAGCTAATTTTTGCCTTTTCCCAAAAAGCACAACACGTTCTTGAATATTTGTGAACAGTAATCTAATCTAGGTCTACCTCTACCCCTCCTAACTCCTGTTTCCGTTTTTAATATGTCTCTGACTAGCCCTCCATGCTTGAAAAGGTGTCCTACCAACCTATCTCGCTTATTTCTTATTAACTTCCATAGTTCTGTTCTATTCGTTTTTTTTACTATATTATAATATTTACTATACTATTCACCAAAAAAGACTGTTGCAAAATGAAAATACCACTGACCCGAAACGACTTTTTAATATTCATATTTTGCCTTCAAAAAAAGTTGCCGACGTTGGAATGGAACCGTTGGGTTAAAAATTAATGAATTGCTATAAAATGATTGCTATTACAATTAGAACTTTTCACATAGGGTAAAACCCGGATGGTTGCCTCAGTGGGATTCATGCCCTGGTTTTGAATACACTATGTTGGAGATGTTGATGGCGTTAGCCTTTTACTAAAATAAAAGGGCCCCTCCCGTAGGGTCCCGTGCCTTATAAGTCGTCGGAGTAGGCGCATGCAGTAGGCAACTATCCCTTTTTTGAAAGGTCAAAAAAGCAAGGATTTACTCAAAACCAATATTAATTATGCTTACACGAATATGCTACTATAAAAGATTAATGCTTTCATATACATGTTGCATTATTCTTTGTAAGTACAAAATGCTTTCTAAAACTATGAATTTACTTAATTATGCAGTCAGTTACTAATTAATAATGTGAGATAAAATAGAATACCTCATAATAATAAACGTTTTAATAATGCATGCAGAATATTTCTACGTCCTGTATTTTGAAAAGGAAAACACATTGCTTTAATGTTAACAATTTTATTACACATGTTGCGTTTTACAACGTGCCCAATTGTGATTCATTAAGCCATTGTTTAACATTTTATCCTTGTCTTGGGTTCCTTTTGCTTTCAAAATTAAAGGTTACTGTCTATTAGAAATCTTTGATTTGATGCAGCCCATGGATGAAAGTGTAATTCGAACGCCCAAACAATACTTTAGCTCAGAGCCGACAAACTGTAACTTCGCAGGAGCCGCTACATGAGGTTAGTTTGAGTCACTCCATACCCTTCAATGAGTACGAGAGAGTAAGCAGTAATGAATAATTTTGTTTTGTCTTTTTCTTCTCCCTTCCACTCCCATATCAAGCCCCTTCATCCCGTAGACGAGCGAAGCCACTCTCGCAACTTAAA